TAAATTCAAGACGCATAATGCAATTCGAGAAGCATTGAAAGACCTACCGAAAACCCTAGAGGACATTTATTTCCGAATCCTGCAATCTATTGATGAAGACAGTGCGGACATTGTGCAAAAAATCTTGAAGTGGCTTGTTCGTGGGGCCCGTGAAGTGACCCTGGGCGAGCTGGCATCCGCAGTTGCTATCGATCCTCACTCTGGGAAGGAGAACGTGGATCCCGATGACCTTATGGACCCTGAGGACATAGTTGGATACTGCAGCAGCCTTATCACTGTCTCTGACGATAACAAAGTGTCTCTTGCGCACTTCTCAGTTAAAGAATTCCTTACCTCTCCAAGAGTAAAAGAGACATTGAGCGTCTACTATGTTGGCGAGGAGGAGATCCATGCAGAACTTGCAGAAGTGTGCCTGACATATTTGAACTATAGAGATTTTGACAGGCGCAATGTTTCATCGACAGAGGGAATATGCGAATTAATTGAACAGTTCAACTTTCTCGAATATGCTTCAAAATCATGGGCTGTCCATGCTCAACATGTCTCGATCTCAGAAGGTCAGATCCATGATCTTATCGAACGGCTATTTCACTCCAATGGTCAGCGTCGCGGCAACTATGACTTGTGGCTACAGATGTACTATCTCCAGTACCGACGTGAAGGCTTAAATCTTGTATCGCCACCTCATTCCACCCCACTTTATTATGCTGCATACTTTGGTTTGCCAAAGATAGTCGAATCACTCTTAAACGAAGGTGCAGAGCCCATGATTGGGAATGGCCCAGATGATGCTCTATCAGCGTCATCTTCAGAGGGACGTGCCGAAGTAGTGAAGATACTGTTACAACGCTGTTTTGAGGGCCATTCGAAAGACAGATTGGCTCATTACTTGTATCTGGCAGCATCGAAAGGTCATGCCGATGCGGTCGAGATTCTTTTAGAATGGGGAGCACCACTCGAGGCCAAGGGCGGAAAACATGGAAATGCACTACAGGTTGCTGCTCTCGAAGGCTACCCTAAAGTCGTTACGATTCTTCTCAAGAGAGGGGCCAATTTCAAGGTTGTTGACGCGAGATTTGGAATGCCGCTGTCTGCCGCAGCCGAAAAGGGGCATCGTTTAGTGACGCAACTGTTACTGGATGCTGGAGCGCCTGTGAATGGACGAGGAGGCTGGTATGGCACACCGCTGATTTCGTCAATAGTGGGTAAGGACGAATCCATCATCAACAACATATTAGATAATGGGGCCGACGTCAACATTCAGGGTGGCCGTCACGACTGTGCATTAATGGCAGCTGCAGCTCTTGGGAAGATTGATCTTGTTAAGAAGCTGATTGATCTTGGGGCTACTGTCAACGATGAGAATGATAAAGGGGCGGATGCTTTACATTCGGCATGTTGTGCTGGTAGACTTGATGTCGTTGAGCTTCTCCTAGCTTCCGGAGCAGACGTCAACGCAAAAGGGGGCAAGCACCGCAATGCTCTAAATGCTGCAAGTGCTGAAGGCTATCTTGAGATAGTGAGAACTCTGCTTGCAGCTGGTGCGGATCCGTTTGCTTTTGATGCGCACTATGGAAATTGTTTGCAGGCTGCGGCCATTCGGGGCCATAAGGACATTGTCCGAGCTCTTGCGGAAGCCGGAGTTGATGTTAATGCCGCTGGAGGAGCTCGAGGATCTGCACTTGTTTGCGCTGCGTCGACCGGAAGCGTCGAAATGGTCGATGTCCTCGTTTCACTTGGCGCTCCCAAGGGCAATACTCAGGATATGCGAGATGCACTTATCATCGCTACGAGAAAGCAGTACGTTGATTTAATTCGCCACATGGTTGAACTTGGGGCGGATATCAACGGCATCGGGCTAGTGAAGGCAACAAACCTGTCTTGGACTGCTCTGGCTCTTGCAGCCAACAAAGGAAACCTCTCCTTGGTTCAAACGCTTCTTAGCCTAGGTTCAGACGCCAATTCTGACGCTGGACTACACGGTACAGCTTTAATTGCAGCAACGGATAGCGACCATTGCAACCATAATGTGTTGGAGGCCCTCCTTGAATCTGGAGCAGATATTAATGGTAAAGTGGAGAATGCAGATTATGCCTACTCTGGAAGTGCAATATTTGCCGCTGTTAAACGTGCAGATATCAAAGCTCTAGAAATGTTTCTGGACCGCGGTGCCAATCCTGACGTTGTTATTGGGTGCCACTTCTCCCCGCTTATGGCGGCCACAAGTCAGAGGAATGAGGTTACTGTCAATATACTGCTCGACGGAGGGGCAGATGTCAATCTCTGCATTGTGCCGAATCTAAACCTAGAGGAGGATACAGGAACAATAACACCCTTGGAAGAAGCAGCAAGAGAAGGCTATGTTAATATGATTCACATACTAGTCGAGCACGGGGCTTTTCTAACACACAGCCGAGATGACATAGCTTTTAAGGCTGCTCTCCAGTGCGCCGCATACTATGGTCAAGAGGACGCATTGAATGCCTTACTCGAGCTGGGAAGTGACCCGAACAGCAGGGGTGGTGTTTTTGGGACTGCACTACAAGCTGCTGCGACTTCTGGCCATAAGAATTGTATTGAGATTCTTCTCAACGCCGGGGCAGATATTAATGAGCATCATGTTGGAAAGGTATTGCAATCCATTAGTAAAATTTCGAACCACATCTAACCTCTTTATAGTTTGGTTCGGCAATGATTGCCGCTTGCCTTCACAGCCCTAAGGAAAATGGGTTGGAGCTTCTCATTGACCGAGGTGCAGATGTCAACATGAATTGTGGGGGAGAGTTTCCTTATGCTATTATTGCCATGGCATATACGGGAGATGCAGATGGCACTCAGTTTCTGATCGATAAAGGCGCGAAGGTAAATAATTTTGGTGGAAAATGGCACAGTGCAATTCAAGCATCAACTTCGGATGAAGCAATTGGTGAGATCATCCAATACGTTCTCTATCCCTAGAATCTCTATTCCTACAGTCTCTCTGTGCCAGAGCCATAATTCCCCTTCCCGCTACGATATTCACTTTGTAGCAGTACCATGGACCTGAACGCATACTAATCTCGCCCAGGAAGTTTCGAAGTCGCAGAAAAACTTCTCGCCGCAGGAGCGGATATAAACGCGTGCGGGGGGCATTATGGTACAGCTCTTCAATCAGCCTATCGATGTGGCTACTACGTTATTATCTGGAAATTATATGAACATGGTGCCTCGCACAGTATATTAGGCGGCCAATGGGGTTCTGCACTCGGCTCCGCTATATCTGGTGCATGCCAAACACTTGTCCATCAGTTTGTCGAGCGTCACAAAGTTGATGTCAATCAAGTCTGTGGTAAACATGGCACCGCACTCCATTTTCTCATTAATACTAGGTCATATGATGAAGTAAACCTGGTCAAGTTATTCTTAGAGGCTGGGGCAAATATCAATGCGGCTGGGGGATATTACTCTACACCTTTGGGCTCAGCAGTAGTTGAAGGGGAGCCAGGCATGGTCGAGAACTTGCTCAAAAGAGGTGCCGATCCCAACTTGGTATGGGAGAAGTCTGGTCGTAGCCCTTTGTGGTTGGCTTGCAGACTAAAAAACCTCGACTATGCGAATAAGCTCATCGAGCATGGCGCAGATGTGAATGGTTGTACAAAACGAGGATCCGTATTGCAGGCTTCCGCCAGGGGGAAATCCGTGGCAATTACTGAGAGGCTGTTAGAATGCGGAGCAAAAGTCAACGCGAATACTCAGGGGCCATATGCGACGGCATTGAACGCGGCCGCTCTTGCAGGTGATTTTGATAATGTGAAGGTGCTCCTTGATCATGGCGCAGATGTTAAAATTACGGGAGGGAACTTCCACTCCGTCCTTCAATTCGCAGCTTTCAAAGCAAAAATTCCTTTGATTCGATTGTTACTCAAAAGTGGCGCGGAGCCGAATTCAATTGGTGGCAGATACAAAACTGCTCTACAAGCGGCTTGTGCAGCTGGACGAATCAAGACCGCTAAGCTTCTTCTCTTGAAAGGAGCTGACCCCAACATACGGGGAGGCCAGAATGGAAGTGCTCTACAAGCAGCCTGCACCTACGGAGATGCAAATCTAGTTAGACTCCTCCTCTCATACGGAGCAGATCCCAAACTTGCAGGAGGTTGGTATACATCTGCGCTTGGTGCGGCTGTGCTGCGGAGGAGATCAGAGGTAGTCAAGGCACTGTTCGCAGAAGGCGGCGTAGACACCGGAATTATTGGCGTTAAAAGTCCACATATCAAGGAAAGTGTGTGGAATGGAAATAAGGCATTCGTCGACACCGTGTTAGCGGACGAAGAAGCATTGGATCCATTCAGCGCGGATAACATAATCCTTCCAGAGGAGAAAGAGGACCAGAGCAGGCCCAATGCGGCATCGGCATCACTGAAGATTAATACTTCAGGCCACGTATCACTGGATCGTGTCAATGTTGAAATAACTGCCATTCCTTCGCCATCGCCAATCGGATTCGGGCCTCATTCTATGCTCGGGCCTGAGTTGTGAGCTGCACATTGTTTTAGCGGAGAAGATTCCGTGTAACTAGATGAAGGTTGCTGTCTAGAATAGGTAAGTTAATTAATAAAATCAAGGCTATCACTTACTTAAGTGGTTTAGGTGGGATATAGTGATCAAGGTTATCCAGGCAGGTTATAGGGATGTAGATATACGGTGGTGTCACGTGATACTAATAGTTCATTTGGAGAATTTCTAATATATTCACATACCTCAGTATTAAGATTGAGATTTTAAAGATAAGAAATAAATATAAAATGCTTTATCGTACGAGTTGGAACGACTTCCTAGAATTAAATATACCATGAAGTTTTGCTAATGCTGCTTTTCCGATTTGGCTCTAAGCCGCTATATACGACATACCTGAGGCACTAAAAAGAACCAAGCGAGATAATGAAAGCATAGCAAAGCAAGATGCGAGCCAAATATAAAAGACGAAAAAAAAAAAGGGAAAATGAAAAAAGAAATCTCAATGATTCCGTACCAGGGAGTCGAACCCTGCGCTACCGCGAAATCTGTGCAAGCACTTGAGAGGCGGAAATGTTACCGATACACCAGTACGGATGCTTGTTAGACTAGAATGGGTTATATTTATTTATATGGGTAATTAAGTGCGGATTACTTTTCACCGCCTTGGTGACATGCCCCACACATACCCGATATCCGAGCTAAGCCACAGGTATAGCTTATCGTGAGACTGGGCAGGTCTGGTGGCTTCGTTTGCGGATACCTCCCGAGGGCAAAGTTGCCGGATGTATTATTTTTGGCCACTGCTTTTGCCCTAAAAGTCTCCGTCTATTGGGGCGACATATCAAAAGAGCTGCGTGTTACCGTTTACACACTCATTAAAAATTTCCCGTCGCTCGCTTAGACTGCACAATTTATAATGTCATTGAGGAATCAAGCCCGTCGAGTTGGAGTCTCATACTACAGAGTAATCTCACTGTTAACATGGATGAAATCTAGACTCCAGTGAGTGGAATATGCCCACGATGGTTACCGCCATGCTATAAAAAACTCGATCTGAAAATAACGCCTCTTCCTAATCTTAACACGTACCAACGCATACAGACCACAATCACGGGTAATGTGGGGATAATATGATTTTGCAAGCTTTATTGGATCTTCTCGTAATGGGAAGGTAAGAAATGCCAAAGCTCAAATGTCCAGCTCGCTGAGGATTTGGGGAAAGTGCAAAACTGGTCAGGCGGACTGCAGTGAGACAAAATATTTAACTGGAATGATAAATAGCGGTCCTGACACACAGATAAAAAAGAACACAAAATGGAAAGAGGATGGAATTTAGGTAGAAAGAAGTTCTATGAACGGTAGTAGATAAAGCATATGCTCTATTCACTTCAATGGGAGGTTTGACTCCAATGTGGCATAATCTTCAATACTTATTTGTAAGTCAATAGAAAAAAGGGGGTTTCATTTAATCCCACTCATAAAACAAAATTACGATCAATATTTTGCCAGAATATCTTAGATCTGCCGTGACAATGCCATAAGATTTACTCTTCCTCGACAGCACTGATTTCCTCTTTCATACCGATTTCAATCGCCAAAGCCTCGATTCCCCATTAACTTATGGAAGACTCAAATAATACTCTAACATTTTTGGGAAATTCGGCGTGCCAAGGCCAGTCACAGGGTCCCACCTATCAATCATTAGAATCTCCCAGCAAGCACCATATATGGGGGGGCATACCCGGGAACAGCGGAGAAACCGATTGTGTTGCATCCAGGATTCGAACCTTATTGTAAGCGTCAGCAAGCAACCTTGAAGCAGAGCTGGAACAAGTGATCCACGTACCATTTGTAATATCGTTCAACATCGAAGGATTAGCATAAAGCGAAGGATTCAAGAATCCAATCGGCCCTTTGCCATGATTCAAGCGCTCCTCATTGAGGCGATTGATAACTCCCGCGAATATTGGAGTACTTGCAGAAGTACCACCAGAGAGACCAAACTCTCCTCCATTATACACCTGATCCCCCACGTTAGCATTTTATATTCTCACGGAAATGAACACCTTACCGCAATATTATCACCATTAGCCGCAACATCCGGGATCCCTCTCCCGATTCGATTATATATCCCTCCAGTAGATCCAGCTAGGGCCTCTATATCAGGCAAGAGACGGATATCACCGGTGTCATTTGCCAACGCGCTATAGTATGGATATTTCGGGTCATGCTTCTTAAAATAGTTCGCCACTGCGTCTGCCTGGTACTCCGGGATAGAATATAGATTGCTGAAGCCACCACCAGAAGAGAAGTTCACGGCGTATGGGAAGCCAGCTGGGTCATAGACAGCGCTCTCAGGATCATTGACTGTGTAGCCTGGGTACACTTTCGTGGCACCGACGCTTGTAACAAAAGGGCACGTGCCGGGCCATGTGGGGTTGAAGATGTCAAGATTCGGACCTAGGCATCCTGTTGGGCCGTCAATGCCATAAGGTGCCGGATAATCTGCCTACGTTAGAATGGTATATGGTAAGTTTGGTTAACCTACTTGAGACTCCAGAGTCGCCAGAAGCGAAAAGAAAAGATACACCTTGAAGTCCAAGCTTCAAGTACTCAAGACATTGCCGCTTCTGGTAGGAGATTGGGACGTCGGATTCCTGGCCACCGTATGATAGGGAGATGACATTTGTGGGCTTGTAAACTCCACACATAAGCTGTCCTTGCCAGCCGCCAGTGTTCGGGTCCGGATATTCCTGGTCTAAGTATGGATCATTCCCTGTTTCGTTGTAGGCTGAGAATGTGCAATACGACTGCATTTTGTCAGCGTGGGACTGTATTCCAGAGCAACTACTTACGCCGTCTAATGCGTCAAGGAATGTATTGAATCCAAATGTATAGGTATCGTTCTGGTTTGCCTGTACAATATAATCATCCACCTGGTAGAGAGTGATGGTCTGTGGATGGACAATAGGGTATGCAAGCATGAGATCGAGATTGACCTCACCGCCAGCGTAGAAAGGATCATCTGTTGCCTGCTGCCCGCCATCTATATTTGCTGGGACTGGGTGGGTTCCATTTTTGATCTTGGTGAAATTGGTGAAGAAAGAATCCAAGTCTTTCTGGTAGTAGAATTGCAGTTCGGATTCGAAGATCCCCAAGGAGTTATTTGGATGGGCGGAGCTCGCGGGCGGAATTTTATACAGAGCGGCCACACAGGCAGGAGTTATGGCAATATCACAAGTGCTCAGGTCATTGGGGTCAGTGTGGACTACCCCACTCACTCTGTGGAGATCATGGGTGTTCCTAGAAGACAGGCTTGAAACTTTCCTGAGCGAGGCAGCATCCTTCTTTGAGTGAGATGGGGCAAGGAGCTTGATCCCGGGAGTAATGTAGTCGATATGCTTTAGTATGTGTTTTGGCAAATGATATTCCTCGCAAGCAGGCATGACCCCACCCGTGACCGAGTCCTCATACTCGAAGTACTCCGTATAGAGGAGCCTCTCAGCTTCCTCTGTAGTGGCATAAAACGCGAACCAGCCTTTGTTGTCAGAGTGACTAATTCTATTCGCTGGTATACCACCCCGGATGAGCCATTCTCGAACTTCCTGCTCCGTCTGCTTGGAGGGGCGGAAGGCCTCAATTACCTCCTCGGAGGTCCAGTGTTGCCCAAATCTGGGAGACGATGGATCGGCTCTGCCGAATATCAGCGCTGGCCTTCTAGGAAGTTTCTCGTGCTTACACTTTCATTAGATGGTCGTATCCATTCTCAATATTTGTCTGCGTCAGATTGATGCGCATTGGGAGCAATTTATGAGACTCGACGCGGTCGAGCTTGGTCCATCTCGGAGCCAGTCTTTCTCGCTTCTCGTGGACTTCGTGATGCAGTGGTATCGCAATTGCATCCAAGCCGGCCAAAATGGCCAGCAAGCAGAATAGAACATTTAATCGCGTCATATTGAACTGCAATTAACGCAGAAAAACAATTCACAATGTACAGGCTGAGGTATTTGTATCGTGACTCGGAACCCTGCACACTGTGCCTGGCTCATGCATTGCACTGCGAAGTGGAAGCCGAAATCATTACCTGCCTAATCTACCTAGTTCAAAGCCTTCTGATCCAGTAAATGGGCCTCAAATTGGATGAGGTGATCGATAAGATTTACGCTGTAAGCAGAGAGCGACAAAAGTGGCATGGGGACGTGCGTCATGTAAGTGCTGTGCAATCACTCTATGGCTCGTATTGAGGGGTTGTGCACAATTCAGCAGGGAAGCTTGGTTTCAGAGATCAGCGGTCAGCAGGATTTCAAATTGACTAGCAGGACGGATCATGACGGATATGAAAATTACAGCAAGGTCATCAAACATATTTAAAAGCCACAGGCAAAATAAGCACAGAACCCGCATCGCTATCTTTATAACAATATGGGTTCACCATTTCTATCAGAATCGCGGGGTATGCATAGCACAGACGCTATTTCTACCCACGACTCGCTCCAACTCACGGAAAAGCTCAGAATCGAATGAGCGTAATGGCTAGCTGTGACATATCTACCTCACAAGATCTGGGGTTGCCTGGGCAACTTTCAAGTAACAGAGCTACTTGTCTTGGCAAAAGGGGGATTTGTCACGTGTGTAAGCCAGCCCTCGCACCTGGGATGGTGGATGATGAACCTCGATTCCATAAAACGCTTATAAGTTTGTTAGACTTGGCCAAAAGGGACACTGAATGTAACTGGAGCCTAAACCGACTAAAAATTTAGTTACCATAGGCATTTCCTCCTTCAGTTGCTTACCCTACAGTTGAATCATGCCGAACAGTTGGGATTGACATTGACTATTCAAATGCCCATGCTGGATTTTTTTAGTTTTGAGCAAATTTTTCTCCTCTTTTGATCTTGTTGAAGCAAAAGCTGAAAGCAGCTATGATAATATATTGACGAGAGAGTAGTCACTAAGAAAAGAAGCTTCTCTCCAACGGCATGCTCCTAGGACCAGGGAAGCAGAGCTAGGGCGATAGACCAGGTGAGTTTCGGTCTGTGTACACTTATAAAAGGGAAGAATATGGGAGACATTGTAGAAGATTATTAGATTTTGGAATCAATTCGTGGTGCATATTGACTTAGATTCTTCATGTATCATTTTCTGTTGGCATATACATCAAAATGTGATCCCACAGTATGCTATCATGAGATGTGAGACAGGTGGGAAGACTTCATAGATGGAGGTACGATTATTCGGTATTTAATAATGAATTAGGGGGATTATAAGCCTATCTTGGGGATTATATAGATTTCTACCAACTTTATAATACTTTATCCTTTTGTTGCATTTGCGGGCATCACTTATCGTCTGTTCCTGAAGCTTATCGTAAGCGAGGTTGGTACGGACGACAATCACAGAGCTGAGCTTCTCAAATATCTACAGCCTTTTACATCAACGCGACACTCACCCATCGCGGTTCTCCAATCACGACAGAGCCATAGTGACCCATTGCTGACCATAAACGTCAATATGTTGTTGTTTAACGACTGAAACGACTGAAAGATACCCAGCATGACCTCTCTCTGGTCCAAGACAGCCCAAGATGGCTCGAC